AACGTGAGAATAATAAATAAAACAAGAAAAAATAGAAAATAACAAAACACGTAAAAAATAATAAAAATAAACAAAATGAATAAAATGTTAAAAAAACAAAGACACAGATAAAGGGAAAAAAATTAATGGAGTAAAAAAATAAAAAAAAAAGGTAAAAGAAATTAAAAAGGAATAAAAATAATGTGTACATATAAAGTAGTATTTACTAAAACAAATAAAAATAATAAATATATAATACTAAGTAAAACAAATAAAAATGAAGATATACATGATATTAAGGAAAAAATAATAGAAAAAATAAAATAAAGTAAAAATATAATATATATAAATAAATAAAAACAAAAATAGAATATTAAGAAAATATATATAAAAGCATATAAATTATAATATTAAGAAAAAATATATACATAGTAAATGGAGAAAAATTAATACATCTATACATATATATATATATATATATAATGATATAAGATATATATAATAAAAATAATATAATATAAATAAAAAAGGAGGAATATAGTAAATAAATAAAAATATATATATATATGAGACGAAATTAATATAAAAGTAAAATTAAAGGGTAAATTTCAAGGTAAATTAAAGATTAAGATTGACTTAGGGGGAATATTAAATACTTTCAAAAAAATGAACATGCCTCGGGAGTAGATCTAGGTTCGAAACTTCGAAACTCCACCCCTTTTTGATCATTGGCGCAACCCCACGCTTTGGGTTATTCAAACCAAATCTCAAGAAAAATAACATGTCATGCGAAAAATGAACGAATCAATGTAAAAAAAATATGCTACCTTTTATTTCCTTTTCGAATCGTTTACAATAGCTTTGCATTTGTATTTTTTCGTGATTTCCTCTGTATCTTGTATGTAAATCGTTGTATTACAAATGGGAAGGATTACATGTATTTGTAGTGAAAAAAACTAATTATTTTTAGAATACTATTAATAATAGAATCCTAATGTAACTAGACTCCTTGCTCGGTTGTTGCACGTTTGTTGGTGCGGATGTTGCTTTAAAAGATATGGTGGTGGAAGAATCCTCTTAGGAGATGAACTCTTGCTAGTTCTATCTTTTAAGAAAATGGGTGTCTACAGATTCGAATCTGAGCCTAATGGTAGAAGGATCAATGCATAATCATCAGACCGATTTATTAATTCAGTATAATTAAACAAAACATGTTTGTTACGTTAAAAATGAATTAGAGATTTTCAAAACCATAAATCAATTTTCAAACTCATTCATGTTCTTTGTGATTACACTAAACACCAAACATCGAAAGACTTTTACTATTATTGATCCTCATCTGTCATTGTCATTACTTTGTCTTTACCTCGTCACCATCGGAATCTCATATGCCTTCACCTTCTTAAACTGAGAACCACCACAAACCACACCCCGAACCTTTATAACTCTCGATCACTTTTTCTTTTTGAATCGTCCATCTTTCCCTCGTCACAATCGCAATCTCCTATGGCGTTGTTTTCCCTAAACCGAGAACAATCGCAAATCACGCCTTGAACATCCACAGCTACTGATTGCTCTCCCTTTTTGAATTGTCAAATCTCAAAGTCATCTCTTCCGTTCACACTCATTAATGCATCAACTTGTGAATAGTAGACCGTGACCTCAAGCTCGAACTCAGCTCAATCGACATCTGCTATTGTTAATATTGTCCATCCGAAAATCCAAACTCTTTGGTTTGCCCCATTGGCCACACTACCTCTGTCCATTATCAACCCTCCTACAGTTTGCCAATAACATATCGTCATCGAAAATGGTGGAAGTTTATTGATGTTTGGGGTTTAAGATAATGATAGAAGATGAGTTTGAAAATTGATTTAGGATTTTAAAATTCTCTAATAAGGAATGATTGTATATTTGAATATTTGTGAAAATATGATATGCTTCTAACATTTTTTTTTTGTCAGTTCGATTGATCAATCAAATAACGTTAAGAGAAGAGTGAATATGTTCTTTAAATTTTTTAGTAAAAGTATTAAAAATTTAGAGTGATTCAACTTCTAAATCAAATCTACTTCTATTATCTTAACTTACACTTTAAGAAATTCATTAGATTTTATTACATTTGAGGATAAAGTGTAACCCTACAACAATCTCATAAGATTTATACCTCAAAACCTTAAGAATATTCTCTCACAGAAAAAATGCAAATTGTAAACTAAGAATACCCTTACAAGGTATATATGTTTGCACAAATTTAACTCACACACTACGAACACTAAAATAAAAGACTACAACAAATAATAAGACTAGTATTTAAAAAGAAATATGGAAGATTTAACTATAAATGAAAATTTTAAGTCGAAGATGTTGGTGAATACTTTCTTGATGTTCTTCAACTTACACAAAGTTTCATTTATTCCCTCTAATAGATTATTTGTTGTTTGGAGTCATTGGAGAAGCATTCTAGTCATTGTGGAGTAATAAAATCAAGTATTAAATATTCTTTTTGCATGAATGGTCACTATCGTCAAGTTTTCTATTTTAGTCACTAGCGGTTATGTTTTAACAGGTTGATGGTAAGACTTAGTATAATAATAATTTTAGTCCCTAACATTTATATATTATATCAATTTAATCTAATTTAAAATAAATTAATAAATTTAACATTTAATATTTAAAAAACCTTATCAATTTAAAAATATCTAAGCATAAATTTATTAACCAAAATAGACATAAATTAATTTTAATTCATAAATTAGTTATGATTAAATTAATTTTCCTATATTAAGTGATTTAATGTAGTCCAATTTTAGCCCCGTAAAACCATGACGGTTTTACCATTTCAAAATTTAGATAAAATATTTTAATTTCTATTTTGATTTTCCAAATTCATCAAATCAAATAATAATTTACTAATTTAATATTTTATTTTGGACACAATTTTCTCTTTTTGCATTATTCTCTTTTTCTTTTTCTTTTTTTGTTCTGTTTTCTTCCTTTAACTTAGTCATTAGAAACTTTCCGTCACGGTTGTATGCTTTGCTGACCTTGTGTACCTCAAGTTTTTCTTAACGATTTTCATTTCATCTGATAAAAGTAAAAGAATCAAATTTAAATTTGAGGATAACATTTGATTAAATGGTATCATTTTACGAACGGATATTTTAACGATGTTAATCTTTTCTTACTCGTAAAAACACTCTCTCGAATCTGACTTTTGTTTTTCGTATCTAAAATTATTGTTTTAATAAATTTTAATTGATTTTGAAAATGTATTAAAATAGCAAAATTTTCTAGATGATTTAACCATGTCTTAACATAAAATATTGATGATGATTCCAATTCATTTTTTTAGATTTATCGAGCAACATCAAAGTTGTTACGATAAATATAAATGTTGAAGGCTAAATTTATCATAATGTCTTATATTATTATCTTAAGTTAGATGTAGTAAAAATCAATTCAAAACTAAACTGAATATTGCAATTCGAATGGAATTTCGATTTTTTACCAACAAAGATAATAATTAGAGTCTTATGAATAGGTACATTGTTAGGTTTTAAAATTCGTTTGTAATAGTAATTAGGTATACCAAGTTTATAGGTAAACTGAATTTGGTTTTCCGGACGTATAGGAAGCTTTTAGCTGTTAGTTTTCATTAACACAGCAAGTGATGGCACGAACATGCAACTTGAAAAGTTGCAACACCCTTTTTCAGTAATGTACATATAGGAACATTTTATTACGAGCAAAACATTCACATTTTCACTGTATTTATAGTATCGTTTCATCTATATTTGGTCTATTAATAAATTAATTCATATTAAGTATTGCATAGATTCATTTATAAGCGCGATTCTCCTAATATAATTTGCTTTATACTTTAATTTTTTTTCTTTTTGGTATTTTATGTTAATAATTTGTGTTCGTGCCTTAACAAATTTGTCATTTTCTATAACTGAAACTGACATGGACTTTATACCAGTATGAACAAATATTAGCAAAGATATAACATTTTTCGTAATCACTAAATGTTTAACCTTATTTTTTTTTGAAGCTTTTAGTTCTATTTTATTCTTTACTATCTTGGGACAAAAAATAGTTGTATAATGAACAAATCATTGCACCCCAAACAACCCAACAATTCTAGTCCCGATGATGGAACCAACTGATTGTTTTGCCTGTATTTGGTAGGAACAATCACATGTTCCGTTATCTGAATAATCGACTCTTAAACACTCGTCTGGCTTTGAAAATATGATCAGCAGATTTATCGGAAACTAGACCAATTATCAACCTGTAGTTTTATTGATCGGAACAAGGTAATTATATCAATCGCGAATGATTACCTCTTTTAATTTGAACAGATAATCAAATCAAAGCATGAATGATATTGATCAATAACGTTAGTATTCAAGATATGCAAAAGAGTTATAAACAGATATAGATCTTGAAGATAAAACAGTTGAAGAAGGAGAAGAAGAGTCCCATTTGTCTATCATCGAAGTTTATTTAATGATCTCTTATGTATGCAAGTATCAAACCTAGCATTATCATTGTTATTTGTAGTCGCATGATGTATAAATATAGTTATCAAATAATAGATTTGGTCTTGACAAATCTCTTGAGTTTATCATAGAGTCTAACCAAAGTTTTATGGTCGGTCGAAGGATTTCTATTGTAAAATCTCTCTGGAAATGATTTTAGCAAGCAGATGAGGAAATTGCCTCTTTGGAGTAGTTGCAGTGGCGGAGCCATAACTTATTGAGGATGGGCACAAAATTCGATTTTTTTGCGTTAATTACTTATTTTACTGATGGTATCTACTTTGAAATTTTATTTGTATCTACCCGTTCAAAAATTTTATATTGTCAGCATATGTGTTCATCCTAAAAAAAATTATGAATACGTCACTGAATTGCTATATCTACGGAGGTATAACAAGTTTCACAGGTTCTGCAATTTTGGGGCCAACTAAATAATGTTATATGATCTCATCTTGGAATTGTGTGAAGCAATGCTTTTCAGAATCTGGAGATTAATTAGACAGAAACCAAACCTAAAAGACAAGAAAACGAAATTGGAACTCAAAGAGGGTACGAAGTTCCCTTTTTGGCAGTCATCACAGGCTTACAATTTCTTGCTGCTACTGATCACTTCCTTGCCAAGCCCACACTATATCTTTCAGCGACGGTTTCAATTCTGTGTTACAAAAGTTCTTATACTCCAAAGTATCCCCTGTTGTTTTCTTCAACTCCACCACATGAAACGACGGTGTCACTTCAAATATCTCCGCATCTATACCAAGCTGTCCCTTTCTCCCTTCCTTTACACCCTGCAATTTCACCTTCCCACCCTTGTTCTTCATGCGAAAACTCTCCGTCCGAGCTATTTGTTCGAATTTAGAAACGATATCCGTGGCCGGTTTTTTAGTTGTGAACCGTGAATAATTCGAATCTTTCTCGAACAAACCGGATAAATCAAAACCTTGCGAAAGGGATATGATGTCGAAAGCATTAAAACAACTCGGCTTAATAAGGCCTGCTTCGTCATCAAAACCAGCACTAAAGTCGGTAATCGACGGATCTAGAATACGAGTTTGAGGGGATGATGGCGGGGTATGATCAATATGTTTATATCCTTTCTTAAACCAAGAATTCTCCATGAGCTTAGCCACTGTGATTCTTCGAATTGGATTAGCTTCGAGAATCCTGGAAAGAAGCTTCTTAACTTCAGGAGTGAACCATTGTGGGCACTTGAATTCACCTCTGGAAATCCTCCTATACATTCCCATGAGATTGGAATCGTGAAAGGGAAGAAAACCAGCTAACAAAACGTAAAGAATTACCCCACATGACCAAATATCAGCCTTGGCTCCATCATAGCCTTTGTAGTTTATCACTTCGGGCGCAACATAAGCCGGTGTTCCACATGTGGTGTGAAGCAGCCCATCTTGTCTGCTCGATTCTTTGAACGCACTCAGCCCGAAATCCGACACCTTCAGATTCCCATTTTCGTCGAGGAGGAGATTCTCGGGCTTTAAATCCCGATGATAAACGCCTCTGCTATGACAATAATCGATGGCCGCGACTAATTGCTGGAAATATCGTCGGGCGTCGTCTTCCTTGAGTTTCCCTTTAGCGACCTTGTTGAAAAGCTCACCGCCTTTGACATATTCCATGACGAAATATATCTTCGACCTGCTGGCCATTACTTCGTATAGTCGAACGATGTTGGGGTGTTTAACGAGGCGCATGACAAAGATTTCGCGCTTGATTTGATCGATTAAACCTCCTTTCATTATCTTCTCTTTGTCGATGACTTTAATGGCACAGCTTTGGCCTGTTGTTAGGTTCTTTGCAAGGTAAACCTTGGCGAATGTGCCTTGCCCGAGTAATCGACCCAACTCGAACCTCTGCATCAATACCGTGCCTTTCTTCTCCATTGTTGTCTTCCTCACTGCTACAAAAATTTGATCTTTGAAGATTCTACACACTGAATCAATGAAGAAAACTATCCAGCTTCTGGGAATTTGTATTTTTCTGGGTTTTCACTAATCAGTCGAAAATTAATGGATTCGAAGAAAACATTGAAAAGGTAGACGTGTTCAAAGTCTATTTTATACTGAAAGGATGGACATAATTTATCGTCGATATATATAGAAACTTTTAGAGCCATGATATTTTGGATAGGAATATCAAACCAAGGCAATCGTAATCAAGGATGGATTGAATTGAATGGTTGATGGGTGATCATCCCTTCTGAAAGTTTTAATATTGTACTAAACATGTCTTCATTGTATAATATATCAAATTACTTTATATAAAATAAAATTATAGATATATTATTATAAACATATAAAAAATATGAACAGATATCATTTTTTAATTATTTTAGACTATTAAGAAAATATATAAAAATTATGTATTAATAATTCATATATTTTTAATATTTTTATATTTATTTATTTATACTATAGTTATTTTATTATATTTAAATATTTATCTTAAATTATATCGATGTCATGTATTAAATATTTATGCGAGAATTAATTCAGTACTATAATTTAATTTAATAAAAAAATCGTTATGTTTGTTTTTATGACTTATAATGATTTGCTTTTAATTCATTTGGATAATTAATTTTAATAATTAAATTTATAGTCTCTCATGTTTGAATTTTGTCATTTCATTTTTTTATTTATCTAAGTTTATGTCAAATTTCACACAATTAATCATAGTTATTCGACTATAATTCAAAATTATTTTTGAAAAATACAAAAGTTATTTACATGACAATTATTTAAGATAATTAATAATTTTATTTAAATCTCAGCAAATTTTCTAATTTTTTTAGCATAATTATTTAATATTTTTTAGTAGTCAAGATGATTACTAGATAATATCTATTTAGAGTATTTATTATAATTGATAATACACATATAATATAAACGTAACTTCTCAAATTCACGACGTCTTAAAAAAATAACAATCATTTTAACTGGGGAGAGTATTTCATGAATTGAATCATTTAATATTTAAGTTATCGATAGAATGATTGGATTGAAATATTATAAATTAAATTAGTATTATATACGAGTGAACTTTGTATCTATGCTTGTAAGTTGTAAGTGGTAACTGTATCACGTGGCTCCACGTGGCTCCCAACAAAATGACAATGAGGTTGGGTCCTATTGCAACATGAGGTCTTCCATTCACGGAGGCAGGCCACGTGCATGGCTATAGTTTGTCCTACTGGCCCACGTAACCAATAACATTAGCAACATGCCAATACAAGTTCTTGATTTCTGATTCGGTGAGTGAACAGTATGTTCCTGGCTGGAGAGTGATCAATATTAAATGATTCTCTGCTGTCAGCACCAAACCATATCTTATTATTTATGATTTGCGTATTGATTTGGTTTTGATTAAGGTTCATTCATATTTTAATTTTTTTGATGAGAAAAATAAGTGTATAACTCCTGTTTGATTTAAGTGAATAATAATAATTTATTGTTCAATAAAAAAATTAAGAGAGAAAATGATAAATAATTAAGAGATATAGAAAGAGAATTCTCGCTTTCGCATGATAATTTATATACAGACATTTAATATTGATGTTCGATTTAGGATGAAGATAAATATTTATAAGTTGATAGAGTAAATAGATTTAATTGTCAAATAATAATACATTTAGCCTTTCGTGTTGGTGACCCACTAAAATTCTTCCGTTCTATTGTTCCCCTTAATAAAATAAATTGAGTGGTCTACTTGAGTGGATGTCCGTCCATAATTCTTGGCTTGGAGCTAATCGAGCAGAATAAAAATATCATATTCACAAAGGTCCCAGTTCAATCTTGAGCCACACAATATAGTATATTCTTGGGGATTCATTAGAATCGCTCATCTATTTCAACTATAGTAATTATAGACATTGTTCTGTCCATTCATGGACAAATAGTTGAAATCTTTGCACCGTCGTTTGTGGACAAAACTATCCGATGCTTTAATACGTCATGGCCCATGCAACCAAAAACTATTGGTTTGTGGGTGTGATTATGAACTCTTTACAAGGCTACAAGCTTTGTTCGGCCATAAAATTCTTACACTTGGCCTTCTGCCTTCTAATTGCTTGGACCATGGTAGACTCTATGTTTTGTTGGGTTTAGGAAATTAAGGTCCATAGTGTCAGTCAATGGAATGGACAGGATTGAAAAGAATTGGTGGAAGAGGGATCTTCGCTTCGACCATTGAAAGAATCTATGTTGTGCGTTATTTGGCTGCAAATACACAAAATTATAGTTTGGGGCACCAAGTCTTTCGATTACGGGTGTGCATATTAAAATATAACCATTGCATTACAAGTTAATTAATCGAATTGTTAAGGTTAAAAGATTACGGTTAACGATTTCAGTCATAAACATACGCAAAATTTTATGCTATGGGACAAATTTCTAAAACTTGAGGTGATGAAGAACTTATAAAATTCTAGAGGTAATGAAAACAGATTATCAATACTAAGAATAAAGAAAATATTTAAAATACATAATAATTTGAAATTTTCAAGAGACAATTAGACCGTCTATCCCTTATTAAAGTTATGATTACGAATAGGGATGGACCTAGAGAGGGCGGATGGGGTAATTGTCCCCCTAAAAGTTTTAAATTCATATATATTTTAGATATTTTCTATTGAAAATATGTTTTAGTCCTCAAAATTTTATATGTTATCCCCTACATAAAATTTTATAAATTTGTCACCCCTAACATGAAGTTCTGCGTTCGTCCCTGATTACGAATTTTAATGAATGATTAACCATCGATTAATCGTTATTATATTATAGATATATTATTTAAGAGAAAATAGAAGTATAATGATTTGTTTTATGTTTGTTAAATAATTGTCTTTAAAAATTTAATAGTGTATTGGACTATTGCTATATGTTGGACTTTGCACTATGATTAATTATGATGTACTTTATGTGGAATTGGAACTTTAAACTAATATAACAATATGCAGTATGTAGATGTACTAATTAGTATATAGTATCAGTATGTACTTTTCTCTTTCTTTAAGCTAAGTATGAAGATCGTGTTTACTATTTAGAATCTCTCTATTTAAGTATTTAATTCAAAAGCATTTAACATAATATTTATTGTAGAGATAGTTTAATTATGTTTAAAACAAACAATCAACATGTACAAAATAAATTTATAATAAATTCTAGATTAACTTGTAATTAAATTGTTAATAATGATTAATTGTTAACAGTTAACCATTTCTCACCGATTAAGATATGATTAATAAAATTTAATAATAATTAAAATAGTTAACCAAATTGTTTAAGTTAAACAGTATGATTAATCGATGGAGAACACCCTTACCTCCGACGGCTACCTGCGGGGATTATTAACATTCTTAATGCTGCTGCCGTAGGAGTCATTACAACTTGTTTGGTTCCTTTGTGATTGAAGGTTGAGATTGAATTATACACAAATTAAACCAAAAATAAATAAAATAAATAAATAAAAATACCAAACCCAACCTTTTATAAAAATCCTTTATTATGGTGTGTTTGATTGGAGGAATGTGAGATTCTCATGGGAATGAAATCCACATTCTCTCGTTTGGTTGGCCGGGAATATTATTCCCGGTAATCTTACATTATTAATAGTGGATTTTTAGGGTATATTATCGGGAATGTCATTATCTCCCTTTCCTTAGATATTTTTAGATTATCAGCGTTTTTGACTAAATGCCCTTAAAAAAATTTATTTCAAAAATATTCTTATTATGTTATTGAATAATAAAAATTCTACGAATGTTAAATTACAAATTTATCCTTAAACTATTTTAGATTTACAAAAAAAAAATCTATAATTAAAATTTTATATGAAGTTAAGGGGTTAAAATAAAATTTTTACCATTTCATTAAACCTTTTTATATTTTCAATTTTGTAAAAAAATATATAAATTTTATAAATTTAAATTTTTAAAAAAAATATATATATATATATATATAAATATTTTTCAACTTATTAAAAAATAAATATATAATAAGGACAATTTAATAAACTATATATTCCAGTAATATTTTATTCTTTTAACCAAATACGATAATCTTATATTCTTGCTAAACCAACCAAACACAAAATACAATATTCTCAATATTACTAATTTTTAATAATATTTTATTCACACTGATAATTTTACATAAACAAAACGCACCTTAAATTTAAAGATACACAACAAGCTTTGAGGTGGCAGTAATGAGAGTTGTTGGGTCCGTGTATAAAAGCTGCACGTACTGTTAAATCATGCGGAAAACCATTTGAAAAACATGTTTTGTTAATCATTGGAAACACAGGAAAAGGTTATTTTACTTTTTTTTCCTTTTCTTTTGTTAGTTTTGGAAAAAGTCTAAAAAAAATCTTAATTTAAAGTTTAAAAAATTTGAAAATAGGTGCAATTTATTTTTTTGTAATATTTTAAATTATAAAAAATTATTAAAAAACACACATTTGAAATAACGTTTAGTTTAGTCGTATTTTAATTGCATGCTAACATGCTATACCGTAGAACTTCCCATTAATTTTCTGCTTTAGTTGTGTTATAATATCCAAACAATAATTATCGGAAAATAAATAAAATGATTGAAAAAAAAAATAAAAAAAATTCAAAATTTAGCTGAAAAACCTAAAAAGAGAAAATTTACGAGCAGAAGATAAAAATTTCACTATTAAAATGAAGGAAGAAAATACAATAGGATTTTCTCTATTAGTTTTATTTGGAAAATATAAAAAGATAAAATATTTTTTAGTCTTTTATGTTTATAATTATTTTTTTCTTAATTTGACTATTTATTTAAAGTATAAAATATATAATTAATCGAAAAATGTAAAATTTCAGTTATTCATATTTTCAGTTTTTTTTAAGGGCTGCGTTAATAAAACTTTAAAGATGATGACTAAAAATATATATTATTTTACTATTTTTAGTCACTAAGTCAACTTAAAAGATGGATCAATTTTCTAATAAAAAATAGTATATAAACTT